GGAGACAGACATATAAATGGGTAATAGTTAATCCATGTGATACAGGGACATGAAATTCCCAACCTGGCCTGGATGAGTTCGTGTTCTCTAAAACCGAAGAATGAATTTTAGGAACGAATGGAGGTTGAGGGTAAAACCTTATTGGAAAGGAAAGCTTCCGTCGGAGAGGGACAGAAGGGGAACCCGAGCGGGTTGCCCAGGAAGCTGTCTCTTCCAGGGACTTTTATATAACACCTTGTGGGTTGAGGTAGAGACAAAGGGGTCTTGCTTAGGCAGATGCAGGGTGGGACAAAACTATGGTCAACGAATGGGATTACAAGCACCATTTGTTCAGGTAAAACTGATTAGACCCAGGACCAAATGGAGTAGCGAGTCATGTAGCAAGGTGGGCATGAATGCAAAACAGGACCTTATCAGGAGGACTTCAGACCATAATTCTTCCTGAGTAATGATCAATCTTGGATGCCAGTCTTTAGGTTCGATTTATAGCAGGGGCCTCCATCCTTCCCACAGTTGTAAGGCTCCTGGCTCTTGTTATTTCCTTCGAGGGCCTGACCCTGTCTGACTGCCTACAATTTTCTATCTCACTCATACTGCCTGCAACACCTGCATGACTGCACTGGTGGTCTATGCAGGGATGGGGGTGATTAGAGGAGTGAGCTCCTACGGGAGAAGCCTGGGACTGAAGCTTTGAAGATGCCAAGTCAACCATGTGGAGGAGAAAAAGACTCCAGAGCAAAGGTGTGGAGAGGGGAAGCAAGGAGAGAAGCAGACAAGCTGTGTTACAGGGACAGAGGAGCCTGCAGGGACCTGAGCCGCCTGGAGCCCTGGGCGCAGTGGGGAGGGTGGGTGGCTGATGAGAGGCGAAGAGCGAAGAAGCAGGGAGGACACTGAGTCTCTGGCTTGGAGACTCGGTGGGTGGTGACATCGATAAGAACGAAGTGTGAGGCTGGATTTTTAAAACCATGGAGACACCTGCTGTAGGCAACTGAGTTAGATAGAAATACTATAGGCAGTCAGACAGGGCTGGCCCCTCAAGGCACCCAATAGGCAGACAGGATGCTACCTTGCAACTGTGGGAGAGACAGGCACACCCGCTGTGGGCCAGACCTCAAGACAAAAGATTAAACAAATGCAGCCACACAACCTCCCTGGACATCAGGGATTGATATTCTAAATAGGTAACAGTCACCTTTAAAAAGCCAAGAAGAGGCTACTGGACTCTTTTAGAATATTTTGCTGAGTTTACACACCTATAATATTCAAATAACGGAATTTAGAAAAAAAGGGGTATACAGATGAATGTGCATTTTGTATCTGTGTATTCAGAGTGGTTAGGATAGATATATAGTTACATTCTCTTAATGAATAGAATGATTTGTTCTGGGGCTGGAGAGATGGCTCAGTGGTCTAAAGCGCCTACTTGAAACAGGCTTGGCAAAGCACAGGGACCGCGGTTCGATCCCCCAGCACCACATGCCGGCCAGCCCCGCCCCCTGGTGGGCTGAGCTGGCCACACACACACACA